GTGCTCAGTGTGGGGTGCTGAATGAGTGCTCAAGGCCTGGTCCCTCTCTGAGCTGTGCAGAGACCGACGCCGCACACACAGGGGGAAGGGTGGGGGGGTACCTCATTGGAGTGGGTCCTGTTCTGGTGCTTGGCGCGATCCGAAGCGTTGGAGAAGGCCTTGTTGCAGCCCTCGTGCTCACAGACGTAGGGCTTCTCTCCCGTATGGGACCGTAGGTGCGTCTTTAAATTCTCCAGGCGGGAGTAGGCTTTGGAGCAACCCTCGAACTGAAAATCAACAGGGATGTGAGTGGAAGACTCAAAAACTGGAAGCCTCTCATGGACCCCCAAAAACATGAGGCCTGCATCGCTTGATCAAGCGGTCCATTTCCAATAGCAGCCCTCTTCGGGTATTTCATTTATTACTTCTCTCGTCATACGACATGAGTGGTGCGCAAGTCTGTTTTTGTTTTTCCTCAGTTTATTATAAGCCATGATTTGGTATTCCTTTAAAACTAACTTCTAAAAAGACTCCTTGAAGATAATTACCAGCCAGTGTACAGGGTAGGCAAATTAGCATTGCACCGAGCTGAAATAAGAGCAAAAGAAACGTCTTCAAAAAATACTTTTCAAATCTGAGTGAGCAGGCAATGAAGTGGAGGGGTACATAAGGGAGAGCCAGTCCAGCTATTGGTCTTAATAAGTACCAATGGACTGTTGGTCGATCTCCAATACTAATTAGTTTTCCCTGCTCACTCCCTGCCAGTCAGCTTTGAGAAACACTTTCAGAAGCTGCTTTAACTGAAAAGTAAGTTAGCATGGCAGATGGGACTTTCAGCAGAAAACAGCACCAACACAGAGAATTTTACAGAGTGAGTAAAATGGGGTGTGTCAGCAGTAACATATGAAACAAGGTGAAAGAGTGTGTGAGATTCCCTGCCCCTTGGCCACTATTACCATACTGTCTGCAACATTTCATGAATGTCTCCAGCACAACTATAGCAGCTTTGCAGAAAGCAAAGAAAGAGTGTATGTAGGAGTGCTGTTAAACTCCATGTCTCTATACTCAACTGTTTCCACCTATGAACCTGCCCAAAGGCTGGGTTTTCTCCTTCTCCCTGGCCACCACACTGGAAAACCACACTGTCAGGGTGCTGAAATTTGTGTATGATTTTTTAAGTGTGATGTGCTGTGCTCAGCATGGGTGTTCAGTGTGGGGTGCTCAGTGCTGTGCTGTACTCAGTGCGGGGTGCTCAGTGCTGTGCTCAGTGTGGGGTGTTTGTGTGGGGGCTGTGCTCAGTGCGGGTGTTTGTGTGGGTGCTGTGCTCAGTGCAGGGTGTTTGTGTGGGT